TCAATACTAAATGTCAATTAAACCAGAGTTAAACCAGAGAATAACTTTTTGTAATAAGGTCCATCTCATCTTAAAAAATCACTCATTTCTTCAGCAATAGAAAAGAGCTAAAATCACTCGAAAAAACTAGGTTGAAACTATAGTTTGTTTATCCTTCTTTCTAGAAGCTAAGTATAATGCCTAGACACACAGGTACACTATACAATATTTCTTTTGCTAGCATAGTAAAGAAAAAGGTTTAGACTAAATTGCACCATCTAACTATAACGATAACTGGTGGTTTTTGTATGGAGCTTGACAGATTTTTGACGTTTGCCAAAGTTAAAGTTCGTTCGTTTCAGCCGAAAGACGTCCACTGCTGGATAAAGGCCTCCCTCAAGGATTTCCACAAAGACCGGTTCTGTGCCGCTCGCATCCAGTTAAAATTAAAGTAAAGCTCGATTCACACATATCAGTGAAGCCACAGTTCCGTCAGAGTGTCCGCTCAGTTTAGTATCAGTGCTACAGTGTTGCGTCAGTGAAATATTTTGAATATTTTAAAATTTCAGAGAGGTGTTTCAATATTCTTGTTCAGAAACTATAAAGTAAGTTATTTTGTTTTTCATGCCGCGGCGGCGTTCGTGATCCGACAAAAAATATCGTCGTCAACGAATACGTCCGTATTGCCGGTGTCGGCACTGACACTGAGAGCACTATGTCGTCACTGACACTGACAAGTGGGGATGCTTTCATAGAAACTGTATGAAAGAATATTTCGCACTGTGCCGGTACTGAGCCTGAACTGTGACTTCACTGATATGTGTGAATCGGCCTTTAGATGGTGCAACCCAGCCTTAGTAAAACGAATAACATAGGTAATTATAAATTACCCAACAACAAGGTTTAGTTATCATCACACCAAACAACATAATATAACCTGCCTAAAACTCTATCGGGGTATACCAACAACAGTAACATTTGCATTTCCAATACCTGCACCGATTGTCGATGCACATAGTTGCCCTATTCTGTGATAGTGGGCTTAGAATTGCAATGGGATTTATAGCAAAAACTGAAAGCAAATACGCAACAACTGGGTATTGTAGTGTAGGATTTAAATATGTTCATGGTTTTATTTTTGTATCTCACTAGTAAGTTCTAAAATGTAGGTCTTAAAAACTTCCTACGTACCTTACAGAAAATTCAGAAAATGCAAGGAAACGCTTACCTACTTATACTGACTGCACGATATACAGGAAGATGGGTAACTCGACCTATTCCTTGAAAGGAGTTATACTAGAGATCATGAACCAGGAGTCCAAACAGGATGCTTGGTTACCGAGTAATGTGACGGTAGTACCTACAGTCTACAGTAATTATTATTATTCTGTGGTAGTACCTACGATGGTAGAACCCCTTCCAAGGAATAGGTCGAGTTTCCCTGGCATTTTGGATTTTTTGCATATAGTCTAGCCACGTACACTTGTCACATACAATAGAGTTTTCCGTCTCTGTGGTCTAGAGGTAAGACCACCTACTTCAGACGCAGAGGTCCTAGGTTCGATTCCCAGCGGGGGAAAATTTTTCTGTTCGGTTTGGTTGGTGGTAGGGCTTGTTCTAAATCCACCTGGCTAGCTACCACCATCTTACCTAAGTCTGCCGCCATAACAACAATGTAAATAGCATTGTTGTGTTCCGTCAGAGAGGTAATATAGCCAGTTCCTCTGTGGTTGAGGATTTCGGGTGAAGCTCGCTTCCACCTTCGGCCTGATCGTCACTTACTATCAGTTGAGATACAGGCCAAGAGCTTTCTCGTTGTGGATAAAAAAAAATTGCTTCAGTGTTTTTCGTATTATGTTGGTAGAGCGTATATTACACTGTCTTTGAGTCCTGTGTTAAAAATATTAATGATGTTGCATGTAGCTTGTATATTGTACTTTTATACAATCACATGCTACGCATAGCTCTCATCTAGCAAACACTAGACTGATCTAAACACAGGCTGCATTATCGCGCGCAAACAACGCATCCTAATGGGAATGCAAATGCAACGTTTATTGCACGCTGTTACTGGCGGAGGCTTACACAACTAAATGTATACAGATTATTATGTTTAGGGCTCCGTAAAACTGGTGGAAAATGGAACTTTAGTTAGAAGACCATGGCGTGTCTGAAAGAGTTAGAGAGTCTGTCACAGACAATTCTTTCAGAGCATATTGTTGGATAGTTTTGGAACTTAGTGGAAAGATTTTGTGTGCCTTTAAACTGGTATTTATATTATTTTGTGACTCAAAAATTTTAATATGAAACTTGATTAATTACTTAGTTTGAAAAACTGTATGAGCTGTTTTCAGTGATACACCAAAATATACTTTTGTTAGAAGTAAGCTTAAGCATAGTCAATCAACAATAATCATTATGTATACAGGGTGTTAGGTAAATGGGTATATGAGCCGACACTAGCCCATGTTAACATGGTCATATAAATGGTATGGTGAAGTCAGAAAATTGATATCTTCATTTTAATTATTTTATTTTTCATACAAATCGGATTTTATAAAATTTATATTGTATGAAAATTAAAAAAATTAAAATGATGACATCAAATTTCTGACTTCACCATAGCATTTATATGCCCATGTTAACAATGGGCTAGTGTCGGCTCATATACCCATTTACCTAACACCCTGTATAACATTGATATTTCGTCGTATCATGGAAAATATAGTTCTTGCAACTCACGAAGCAGCGACAATATCATTTATTAGTTTTTGCAATTTACGAAGGCTAGTCAGCTTTACTTGTGTGTGTACGTGTAGGTACATGCACATGTATAACGATAGTGTACCTATCAAAACTTTTGAAAAAAGAACAATAGCGAGCCACCACACATGAATAGCTCACTCACCTTCGTGAATTAATAAATAATAATATCCTTGGACATTTACACTGCGCTTCTAGTCTCAAACTAAGCAAAAAGCTTGTACCTACTATAGGTACTAGACAACGGATATAAACATACTTAAATACTTTTGTATGTATAATAAGTATGTANTAAATACTTTTTTTTGTAAATACATACTTATTATACATAGAAAACACCCAGTCCAATACAAACAAATAAATGTTCATGCACACAAATGTTTGTACTGTGCGGGAATCGAACCCGCTAACTCCGGAATAGTAGTCTGTTTCGAACCACTACACCAAACGGCCGACATTTTCACAATTGCAACAACTACGAGTATAAATGATATTGTCGCGGCTTTGACATCCTCCACTAACTGTTGTTCCATCTTCAAGCTCGGCTGTCTCCGCGAGGCTTATAATAATCTTGAACACTCGCGAACACCCTCAAGTTCATTTTCTCTCGCGCTTTGCTTTCCATTTTGGGTCCAATGGACGAGATTCAGCGAGTTTTATAATCAACCTAATGTAATGAGAATGAATAGCGCTACCAACCAGTTAAAACTATCACTATCACTGCTTTGGAACAATAATCTGGGCCAGTGCTAAGGCTAGGCAAGAAAGTAGGTCACTATTGTCAGCCTCTTTTTCAAACATTTATCACAAAATATTGCCGAGTTGAATATGAGCTATGCAGTTATAAGATTCCAGGAATATCATTCTTCAATAATTTTTAAGCTCCTCAAATGGCTGTAGAAACATGGCTGAAATCTCAAGCTGTAAACAGTCATGAAGGTACCTACTACATAATAATATCCAGTGGCGCGTATTCCTCAGTTTCCAAAGGAATGGAACGCGAGAATTTAATTTCTTGAACATCCTTCGTTTAGTAAAGTATATTATATTTCATGCGCATTGAAAGTCAAAGTCAAATTTAATAGTACTTCCTACAAATCGTCAAATATTTTGCTCTTAAGGAGCCTCTACATGTCTCATAATCTTTTTACCCTACCTTCGAGACCGACATTTGGCAAGTGCTAAAAAGAAGCGCCGCAACAGACTCAATCAACATGGTCTGCCGATTGTTATAAATAAATACATAGGCTGGGTTGCACCATCTTATTTTAACTTTGACAAACGTCAAAAATCTGTCAAACTCCATACAAAAAACACCGGTTATCGTCATAATTACGGTTAAAGTTAGGTGGTGCAACTCAGCCATAGAATCAACTAGTAGTTCCATATAATTTACCCGCCTCGCTCGTTCCTTGCAGCCTGACAGCGCGCTTTCATTTGTCTCCGATCGACCCGCGCTGACTGCTATTGCGAATGCCTTATTAAACGTCATTCCACTGGAAATCTTTGCTTTTCACGTTTATTATGCGCCTTCCACCCTTTCCCTTAGCATATATATATNAACGGGAATAAGCGGGAAAATCCTTTGGTATGAAAAATCTAAACCGCTTAAGTTAGACGCATGAAATTTGGCATGCAGGTACCTTAGTAAACTTAGAGCTTAGTTACAACAGGATATTGCAAAATTCCCACGGGAACGGGAGTTATCGGAAAAAAACATTTGTATGAAAAATCTAAACCGCTTAAGTTAGACGCTTGAAATTTGGCGTCCAGGTACCTTAGTAAATTTAAAGCTTACTTACAACAGGATATTGCAAAATTCCCACGGGAACGGGAGTTAGCGGGGAAAACGGGATCCACGCGTACGTAGTCGCGGGCGGCCGCTAGTCATAGAATAAGAATGTATAAAATCAGAAGGGAATACTTCCCAATTTACTGGGTGTGTTTATTCCTTTATTGGTTTAGTCGTGTGAAAAATAGATTCAGATTGCTATAACCACGTGTGCGTAGGTGTTGTAATAACTGTAAAATGTATCCCCTATTAATAAAAAGTTAAACCATAGTTGAACAATGTTTTAAAGTGACGTTAACGTCACTTAACAACAGTGTTCAACTAGGTTGTAACTTTTTACTAATAGGGGGTAATAGTTGAGTTAGAATACCTAGATTTCAAAACTAAGTCAGTGCTGTGTCTTTGAGCATATCAGTACCGCGCGAGCGCTTGTTAAGGAGACACGTCTTTTTGAGTCGAATAAAAAACCAACGGTTCTCAACATGTTCACTTCCAAATGTGCAAATTGTACGGACACCGTGGGCGACGGACCAGAGTGCTCAATCTGTAAGAAAAGATTTCATTTTGCTTGCGGAGGCATCACTGAGCGTGGTTTCGCCAGATTGGGTTCTGGCAGAGCCTCCTGGATGTGCACTAATTGCAGAGATGCACCGCTGACGCCAATGGAGACATCCTGCATCGAGACGGCGGCTGCTAACACTCCTGGCAGTTCAAGATTCTCTTCAGGACTTCCGCTCGAGATTCGGGCGGTTTCAACACCTAAACATGGTGCTTCAAGTGAAGATAAGCAAAACTTCCTTGAGTTGCTGCAAGAGGTCTCTTCCAAAATAACGAATATCCAGACAGAGATTACGATGATACGTGTTATCCAGCAAGATATCCAACAAGTTAAATTGGATATCGCCGAAATGAATAATACTTTGAACACAAAGTTGGACAAATTAAATAACCGCGTAGACAACATTGAGTCAAGGGTGTCAACGGTTGAGGGCCTGGTGTCAACGATTGAGGGACTCTCAACTGAAGTCGAGGACTTGAAAATGAAGGTCAAAACTGTTTTGGAGGAGGGCCATAAGAATGAGCAGTGGGTACGTCGGTCAAACATCCAGATTAACGGAATTCCACATAAAAGCGGTGAAAATCTTATAAAAATCATAAAAACCTTGGCTGAACGTAGTGGTTACCCTCTAAACGCAGAAAATGATATTGATTTCATAACACGCGTAGCAGTGAAGAACGATGAAGACGCCAGGAGATCTAAACCGATAATACTAAAAATGCAATCAAGATACAAGAAGGATGATTTTTTGGCTGCACTTCGGAAATTGAGAAACATTAAGGCATGCGACCTGGGTTTCACCGGTATGACTGGACGGATTTACTTCAATGACCATCTCTCCCAACGTAATAAACAGATCTTCCAGCAAGCAAAGCTTAAAGCTAAAGAGAAAAATTACACGTTCTGCTGGGTAAAAAATTGTACTATTATGGTACGTAAAACTGAAAAATCACCAGTATTGCATATTACATCCGAGGAATCGTTAAAAAAAATTTTATAAGTGATATAAAGGTGTATACGTTAAGTATTTATAATAGTTTGAAACTTGCAAAATGTGCTTCAATCCAATTTGTGGAGTGCGTAAGATTGAGAACCATATGCAGGTCATTAGTGAATGTTTATTATGTCTATCAAGGTATGCGTAATGTATTGTCGTGTGTAGCAACCATTGCGGAGTGTGTGTTTAACGCTGGCCGAAAGTTGCCAGCGCGCCGTTCTATGTATTATGTATTCATTTCAAGTAAGCGGAGCTCGACTTATTTTGTATTATTTGAGTTAAATATTTCTATTCCAATGGACAACACGTTAAGCTTGTATTTCGTAAGTCTGGCGGTATCTGTGAATGATTTGGCTTTTTCGAGTATTAGGACGTTTCGAATAATGCATGATTGCCATAAAAACTTATGGGTAAACAGGGGGGCACCGGTAAAAATTATTGGTGTTTATTTTACATGTAAACAGATGGTTTTGTTATTGTTTTATAACAAATATTTTTTGGGCTGCGGTATTGTGCTGTTAATGAGTTTGGATTTGTTTACTGGAGATTGTTTCAACAGGATTTTTGGTTTCTATACTGATGTTTTTCATCTGGGAAACTTGATTTTAATTAAGCAAAGTGGTATTATGGACTTGCGTGTTATACATAATTACAATTCAAAATATTCAATTTACAATGTATTTTAGTAATTTAACGTGTTTTTATCAAAATGTACGTGGTCTTCGAACTAAAACAAAAATATTCTATAACAATCTAGTGAACAAAGATTATGACATTATTTGCCTAAGTGAGACTTGGTTGTTACCAGGCATTTTCGATGCGGAAATTTTTGATTCGCGTTATAATATATATCGTACCGATAGGAACTATGAACAGCGGGGCATGACTAAGGGTGGTGGCACACTGATCGCGGTCAAACGCGAACTTATGGTGGACTCGCACTGCTCCAGCGTGTTACCTCAATTTCCTGATGCCGATATCACACACCTGGACATTCTGCTGTCCCGCGGTCCTAATGCTAAGCGAATGCATGTGTATAGTTGCTATTTTCCCGACACTAAGGACCAAGTATTGTCTCAGCAAACATTCCTAGAGTTGGTATCGGATTTTAGTGTCGATAGACCTGAAGATGAGTTTTTGATTATAGGTGATTTTAACATAAGGAATGCAATTTGGCTAAAAAGTCAGGACATTGCACGAAATGATCTCATCTTGTCTAACCCATCGGTTGATGTGTTGTCATCCCAGGTTTATACTTTTATGTGCTTTACGGGCTTTCTACAATATAATGGAATTATGAATTATAATGACAGGCACCTTGACTTAGTCTTCTCAAGCTTTTTATGTCGGGCGTCTCGGGCCGATCCTCTATCGGAGCCTGAAGACAGACATCATCCATCTTTATTATTGTCATTAGAAGTGGACTCAACTGACGCTTACCTAAAGGAGGCGCCCCGGACTGTTCGTCGTTTTCACGCCGCTGATTATGATGTAATTAAAATAAAACTTGACGAAATAAACTGGGGGGAGCATCTCTCTAGCACTAATGTTGAGGATGCACTGGATTGTTTTTACAGAATTGTTAATGATATTATTGATAAATACGTACCCATAAAAACAGTAAAAGATAATAATGTTTACCCTATTTGGTTCTCTCCCAAACTAATTAAACTATTAAAGAGAAAACACAAGTTACATAAAAAATGGAAAATATATGGCAGATTAGCTGATTATGAAAATTTCTCAGAATTGAGACGTTACGTTAAAATATTACAAAACTCTTGCTATAGTTTATTCATTGCAAGAGCGGAATCAAACATTAAAAACTGTTCTAAATACTTTTGGTCCTTTATTAAATCTAAGAAGAATATCAATAGTATACCGGACATGATGAAGTTGGACAATGATNTTTTTTGGACATTTTTACCTTGATGCATTTAAACACGTGTTCACGTTAGCTATTATACAATAAGACGCTTGTTCAAATAAACCCGAAGACATTTTAACTTCAGAACATTTTAACCATTGCTCATTTCGACGTTCATACTTTTTGCCACACTAACAGCCGGTCCGTATGGACATTTTGACACCTGCACATTCCAACCGTTGAGCGTTTTTTCGCATTGACTACCCAGTCCCTGAATGAATTCTACATTCTATGAACAACTTTGTAATTTCATAATGTATTGTTTACTGTAGGTAATGAAATTACAAAATTGTTTTATACTTAAAATAACTGCAAATCACGTAAATAATATGCGGACGTAAATAATGACGTTTTGGCGATCTCATTAAGCGATAAAAATTAACTATCTTGACTNACTATGCCCAAATAAAATCTTAGCCTTTAATTTTACTGTTTAGTACCTCAAAAATGAAAAATGAAAACCTCATTTTCGCCATTTTCACTGCTACCCGGCCTTAAACGAACAAACTGCTAATTTAGTAGGTACACTAGACCCTGAAACTTCCTTAGAAACTTAATGTTCATCATAATTTTTTGGTTTATTTAGGTAAGTGCTATCAATTTACATCATCAGCATCATCATTTCAGCCATAGGACGTCCACTGCTGAATATAGGCTTCCCCCAATGCTTTCCATGTTGTTCGATTGGTAGCGGCCTGCGTCCAGCGCTTCCCTGCTACCTTTACGATGTCGTCGGTCCACCTTGTAGGTGGACGTTCCACGCTGCGTTTTCCGGTACGCGGCCTCCATTCCAGAACCTTGCTGCCCCAATTTACATTAGGGTACAGGAGATATTTAATTTTATAAGATCCTTACCATCATCATTACGTCTAGAAATTTTATTGTTTAAACATCCAAATAGTGACCATCTGAATCCACGTTAAAAAGCCAGCCTATCACTCTGTTTACATCCACCAGATGAGTGACAGAGTAAGGAAGAAAATAGCCAAGGCTGTCACGGTTGGTGGGCCTAATGAGAAACGGAGCCTGCGGTTAATTGAGGAATCATTATGGGTCAAGGAAATCGATTTTAATCGTAAACAATGGACCGATTACGTGAATCAAAAGCGATATTTTTTTTAGTGGTGTAATCATGAATTTGACTTTTCTTACTAAAGTGATTAGACTAAACGTTTTGAAAGAGTATGTACCTACTAAAAAAAATAATCCAAAAATCTGTCGTTTTTCGGTTGTTTTATGAGGAGTCAAAGGTTTATTTTTATTTTTAAAATTCGATTTCTTAGTATTTTTAATACAATATTTACAAACGTCAAATAGGCGGTCAAGGAAGCGACACAAAAACGTCACCTGCATTTAAATTTTTTGTTACCTTTGCTGGTTTTTCCTGAACAACTGTAAAACAAACACAAAAAACGTTGTAAAAACTATAAACACCGCTTGACGACTGATAAGGAAGTGTAAAAAATAAATGAAGACTAAACAAAAACAAATGAAATTTTCTATTAGGCGGGTCGTTAGTTCGGTTAGTTTTTTGTATTAATTACTTAATTCTAACCTACTTACCGAAGGCATTCATTTTCCTTATACACAGATCAGCAAACAGAGTGATCCGGTGAAATGGTTAGAAATACAAAGAAGTAATTTTTCTTTACAGGCCTTCCACTAGGTGGACGGACGATCTAGTGAAGTTCGCGGGAAGCTCCTGGATGCGGGCAGCGGTGGAAATCCTTAGGATAGTCCTTTGTCCAGCTGTGAATTTTTTTTTTATCCACAACGAGGAAGCTCTTGGCCTGTATCTCACCTGATGGTAAGTGACGATCAGGCCAAAGGTGGAAGCGGAATCCGGAATCCTCAACCACGGAGGAACTGGCTATCTTACCTCTAACTGCCGGAACACAACAATGCGATGCAATGCACAAAGATGGTGGTAGCTAGCCAGGCGGACTTAGAACAAGCCCTACCACCAACCAAACCGAACAGAAAATTTCAGAAAAATCTGTCCCCACTGGGAATCGAACCCGGGACCTCTGCGTCTGAAACAGGTGGTCTTACCACTAGACCACAGAGGCGGTGGATGTCATTTGGCTGAAACGAATAAACGAAAGAGTATTATTTACTTGACACTGGCCAAATGATGCAAATCGCACGAAGCCATTAAAAAGAAGAAACTTTTTGATTTTAAACGTGGAATATTATGTTAGGGCAATCTACATTTTGGGCACGTCCTTTATGTGCCCAGCCGGGATAAGATGCGCGCCTTGATATACTTTATCGACGTCAAAATGTATGGACAAAATCGATAAAATGGCGTGATAACCGCTTATCGCGGCGCAAAGAATTTGAATATTGAATCTTTGATTTCGTATTCCCTTGCCCTATCGATTTCGAATTTTCCAGAACATTCTACTAGGTACTAAACACCAGACGTTGTGACGGTTGACTTGGCGAAACTAGCTCGCCGAACGACGCACTTGGCGGGAATGTGCTTCCTGACCCGAATTCGGCGTGTTTACCTGGATAATAGTCCGCTCGTGTTTTGTATAGTCTGATGTACTTACTGTACATACGTAGGTACCTGAAAATGTAGATGTACTGTGCATAGGTACTTGGAAATATAAGGTTTTGAAATATAAGGCTGGTTTATAGGTACACTAGTTGGCCCTATACGTATTTCAATTATAGGGCTAGAAAATAATACACTAGCTGGCCCGGCGAACTTCGTACCGCCTATGTTCATCAGAAATAATAAAGAAACAATTTTTCAATTCAGTCCAGCATTTTTTGAGCCTAATAAAAATCAAATCTTTCTTCTTTATTTAATATTGTACATAATTTGGTTATACAAAATGTAGGACTTATTACAATGGATAGATTTTTCCCGCGTTACTTGGCTCTATCTCCGAATATGTTTTTCGGATCAAGCCACGAAAATAAAATAATACTAACAGACAAAGAAGAGACTATGGATTACTTACTTTTTTTTGTAACTATTGTCATCAATATAATGAAAACAAAATATTGATTAGGTACTGTACCATCTCCAGGAGACGCAGGCCAGGAGCTTCCTCGTTTGTGAATAAAAAAAATGTTTTCAATTTGATATGACATACAGATTAC